CGTAGAGTTGATACTCTGATAAGCTGCTTCAAAAAAGTGAGAGAAAGCTTCAATCCCAATCATCAATATGATGTTAAAGAAATGCTCAGTTTGTATGAGGCTTCCTACCTTGCTATGGAAGGAGAGGAAGAACTGGATGAGGCAGGAAAGTTTGCTATGGAGCACTTAAGACGTCTTGATAGATCTTTACTAAGTCCACAACTTATTGAAGAAATAGATCATGCCTTGGAGCTACCCTTGCATTGGAGGATGCCAAGGCTGCATAGTAGGTGGTTCATTGATGCTTATGGGAAACAAGAAAATGTTAATCCCATATTGCTTGAGTTGGCCAAACTAGATTTCAACATAGTACAGAGCATTTATATGACAGAGCTTAAAGAAATCTCTAAGTATTTTGAATTTTTTTTTAATATACATGATCAATCCTTCTCATAATTCTTCTAAGAAATATTATTTCCTTTCACAGTTGGTGGAGAAATCTTGGTGTTCTTTGTGATGAGCTTGATTTTATAAGAGACAGGCTAGTGGAGAACCATTTATGGGCTTTAGGATTTACATTTCAACCTAAATTTTGGAGAAGCAGGAAAGCAATCACCAAGATTAATTGTTTGGTAACAACAATTGATGATGTTTATGATGTTTATGGCACTCTAGATGAGCTAGAGATCTTTACAAATGCCGTTGAAGAGTAAGGAAATACAAAAAATTAATTAATGTGCATACATAAGTTTTAATTAGCTTTGATTATCAAATATGTATAAATAATAATATTATTATAATCTAAATGTAATTAAATTTAAGTATTGAATTATCCTTGATTAAATTATTGCTAAATTAAATTGGAACTCCCAGTTGGAAAATGGATGCAGCTCAACAACTTCCAAATTGTATGAAGATATGCTTGATGGCACTTTTCAATACAATGAATGAAGTTGCGTACTCATTTTTAAAGGAAAAAGAATTGGATATTCTTCCATGCCTTAAAAGAGTGGTAATACAACTTTTAGTTCATTATGTATATGTCTTTAACTTTTAATATAGAATCAAGCTTTTTCTCATAATTCAAACTTTTTGATATAAAATTCTGTTAAGCTACAAATTAGAAATAAAAATATTAAACTAGATTAGATGATTGATGTGGTATAATGTTTTTAACCAAATTATGTTATGATTGTACTCTAGTGGGTCGATTTATGCAAAGCATACTTAATTGAAGCAAGGTGGTATCATAATAGATACACCCCAACATTGGATGAGTACTTGGAGAATGCTTGGGTAACAATATCCGGAAATTGTGGACTATCAGCATCATATTGTCTAAGTGATGACTTGAATGTTGAAGCTCTTGATAGTATAAAATTTTATCCACCCATCGTTCAACATTCATGTATGATTTTCCGACTCTACAATGATTTGGGAACTGACATGGTAAATATGAGCATTTTCTTCAAATCTAAGAATGTAATCTTAATGTTTTCTTTTCTCTTTTTGAATAATTTATTTATTTATGATAGAATCATATTATGTGTTTATTACAGGCAGAGATCCAAAGAGGAGACGTTTTAAAATCAATTCAATGCTATATGAATGAGAAAAATGTTTCAGACTCAGCTGCTCGAGACTATATAAGATGTTTAATAAGAAATTATTGGAAAAAATTGAATGGAGAATATATTACATTTTCAACATCTATAGAATCTTTCAGAAAAGCTTTAGTAGATGTTCCACGAACAGCACAAAGCTTCTATCACTATGGAGATGGATATGGAGAGCCCGGTGGTAAAACCAAGGATCAAATTTTCTTAATGATGATTGAACCAATTCCACTTTAAAAAGGATATCCTTTAAAAAAGGACAGTTACATCCTCATTCCTAATCCATTGTACAATTCCTTTCTCCAAGTGCATGTTATTTGTAATTTAGCTTATGATCAATTTTTTATCCAAGCAATTAGTGCTAATTTTTTGCTTAGTATTAAATCAAATAATGCATTCCAATGTATTTTATAGCTTGTGCTCATAATTACTAATCAATACAAAGCATCCAAGTAAACATGATAATGCAATACATCATAATGTGTGTAAAAAGATCTAGCTGCACTTTACCCTACACAAACAACATCTAAGATATTTTACATTTTTACCTAGTTCATGGCCCTGAAAGGAGATCCATGCTGACGTCCAGAGAGCAGTCGTGCCTCGTAATTGCCATAAAATTATAGTCTTGCATTGGAATAGTTTTAAAAGCTCCAACACATATTTTCAGGCTATGTGACTTCGACATAAAAAAATATGGGGGAAACTAATATGTTATAAACAAAAATTATCTTGATCGGGCACAAATCTCAATGTAAATATAAATCAGAAACTTCCAAAATAAAATTTAGATACGTCCGAGCTCTGATTTCAACATGCTTCTAGTCAAATTGAACATCGCAAGGAGACGAACTTAACGACACTAAATTCAATCCAATCCAAGACCAAGTGAGCCCAAAACGAGGGCCCGAAGCATATTCAGGATGCCTAAAGCATAAATTGGATGACCAAATAATATTCAAATATGTCATGCATATAATTGAATCAAGTGGCTTGACGAGATGACTCCAAAGAGCGTAAGATTATCAAACTTTGACATTATTAAAACACTCAAATGCTTAATAAACGATTCATAATTAAGGGAATTGATATCAGCCATCAATCAAAGCACTACCAACATGCCATTGATTTTCTCCCTATTTACTATTCATGTCACTCCAAAAAATCTATAAATAAACCTCTCATTAAATGAAGAAAAAAAGATGGAAGAGAAAGAAGAGAATAGCGAATGTGAAATCTGGGAGCTCTCTTACCACCAGACTCTTCCTCGACCACCACACGGCCACCGATCATCGTCAGACTTTTACCAGACTTTCGTCTGGCAACTAAACGTCATTAGACTCTTGCCTAACAACCGTCGAACTTCTGCTCTACCACCGTCTGACTTCTACCCAACTGTCATTGTGGTAAACTCCTGAATTTTAACACAAAGTTCAATCTACTTTATGTACTATTGTAATTTGACTGTCCTAAAGTTCAAGCATATGTCAATCTTTGTAACGTGTTCAAACAATAGTGGAATCATTTTGAATGGGCGTGGCGTTCTGATCTTTTTCACCTTTTTATGGTTTTTCATGTAAAAATTATGATGTTTTTAGATTCCTCTGTTTGTGTGCGGATACATGTGCAATGCTAAGATGTAAGATTCTGTTTATTGCCATGAATATTCTAACCCACAATAATACTAAATAAAGACTAATAATCAATAATATTTAATAAAAAATAATTATGAAGTGCACCAAATATCATACATTCTTCACCTAGCTTCTTCATTTAAATCTTCTTGAGGGACAATGCATGTTATAGAAATAGTTAGAAATACTCGAGCTTACCTTACCTGCCCCTTTCTTACAGTTTATCGCCACCTCTCTAGCAAGAAAAATTATTACATGCGGTGACTATTTGGACTCCAATCACGCGAGGACATGTGAATTTTGTTTTCTCTCCTTTATACACATGATATGAAGAAAAAAAAAACATTTCACATATCTTCACATGATTGAAGTCTGGATACGCCTGAACTAATAAGTAATAATTTCTCCTCCAGCAGGCTGCTAATTTTCTCTTGCCATATGCCACCACATCGATCTTACTGAAGTTGGCACCGCTTAGTAGGATAGCTCGGTTACCTGTTCATCTGTGTGACGCTCTTCTTGGTGAGGCTTATTTTTTAATGCCAATACGTACTGACGTTGATGTCCCCTTCTCTATTTTTTTCCATGACACTTAGTTTGGGAGTTGGTGCCTCCACCATGACTTGTGAAGTTTCACTTCTATTTCTTGTTGGTGTTTCTTCTATTGGTTCTTTGAGAAGCATTTTTTTGTGCTTTCGACCTCTTGATGATGATTTCATTTCAAGATGTTCTTTGTGTTAATAGTCTAACCCTTAATGTTAACGATGTTTACTGAACAAGCCAAAATGAAAAATGAGAGAGAGTGCAAGTGAAAGGTTTGTAAGAGATGGCAAAAGAGGAAAGCACGAGGGGGGATGATAGAAAACATAAAGGGAAAGAGAAAACCACGTGCGAGTAGTACACATGATAAAAATGAGTTTTTAGGTTAGTTTGATCAAGCGACTCATGTAGATTATGATCTTACAAAGAAGATTTATTATACTATGGTAAGATATAGTTAACGAGATTAAGGTTTTATTTGGAAAAGTTTTCTTTTTTATTCCTAAAGCAGCTTCGTAGTAAAAAAATAAATTTTATACTAAGAAGCTGATCATTTAAGAAGCAAAAAGAAAGCCGTCCCAAGGCTTTGTTTGGGACAACTTTTTTACTGATTTGTAAAGCTGCTTTTTAATACAAATATATCTAGTTCAATAAATTTTTGTACTATAAATTTATTTTAGGAAGCAATAAGAAAGCTGTCCCAAATGAAGCTTAAGGCTTCGTTTGGGACGACTTTTTATTGCTTCTTAAAGCAATTTTTTAATGCAAAAATAAATTTTTTGTACTAAAAAGCTGCTTTAAGAAGCAATAAGAAAGCCGCTCCAAACGAATCCTAAGTAAAGCAAAAGCTTCCTTGGAGAGGGTAATTGAAAAAAATCCATCAAACGAGAAGTATGGTAGTGAAGAGGTGCAAGAGAAAAGAATGCTCACTTGTAAAAATATTAAAAATTTAGAGGAGGCGCCTATAGATTTAAGTGAAATTACAAGATAAAAAAAGATTTATCAGAAACTATATGATAGCTTAAAAATTGCGTTATTGGATATAATATGCGAAAGTTATATCATAAGATGCCCAAAAACACGTACCGTTTGGTGAGCATCACATTACATGAAAATGAAAACTTTGGCATTAAGAGCAGTACGCCATAGAATGCTCATATATAAATAGGCATAGGGGGTTCCCATCTATTATCAAACCTACACAGAACTACTTGGCTTAATACATATCAATATGGCTTTGTATTTTCGCCCTCCCATGCTTTCGTACAGTAAGAAGCAGCCAGTGCTCTTTAGCTTTTCTTCCACGCCAACATTTCTAATTCTTCAAGGAAGTATTACAAGATTCCATCCCATAAGCTGCCTCTCACCAGCTAATACAAAAACTTCTCCTGCTCGTCGCACAGCAAATTTTCAGCCAACCATTTGGGATGATAACTACATCCAATCGCTTCTAGTTCATTTCATGGTGATGGCTTATGATTTAAATTATTTGAGTCATTATGAAGATATTTTATTACATCTACTCTTAAAATTGGCATATGCTAATTATTATTATCAGCAATGTTATTAGATGATATGCACATAATTTTTTTTTTATTCAATCATAATTAATCTATATTCAAGTATAAATTCTTGTACTTTGATATGAAGGTATGGATAAAAAAAAAATCAAAATGATTTTTCTTTTAAACTAAGGCTTCGTTTGAGCCGGCTTTCTTACTGCTTCTTAAAATAATGTTTTAATAATAAATAAATAAAATTTTGTATTAGAAAACTACTTTAAGAAACAGTAAGAAAGTCATCCCAAACAAAGCGTAAGAGATTTGGCTTGAACTAACATATATGTTGAGTTTGAATCATTTAGTTTCATCTCTATTCGAAATCAACCGAACTCAATTTCTAGCAATCCATTTTTTTAATGTTATTACTCAAGATATAATGGCACATTATTGAACCTATATCCTTAATGATTTAATGCCAAGGATAATATTGCTTATTTTTCTTAGAGAGTATTACATCATTGAAGTTGATGAAAAATGAGTACATATGCGCAGGAGGAGAAGTATATACATCAAAGAGATAAATTGAAGGAGGAAGTCAGGTGTTTGATTGGCCAACAACATGGACTTGTTAAACAGCTTGAACTTGTGGATGCCCTACGACAGTTAGGAATTGATTATCATTTTGATTCAGAGATCATGAATTTGTTGAGTTGTATTTGTTCATCAACGGAAAATATAAATAACTTGATAAAGAATAACAATCTTTATGGCTCTGCATTGCTCTTTAGGCTTCTAAGGGAGCATGGCATCAATAATGGTGCAATACTAAGGTATGTACCAACATGTGCATGCATATAAAATTTTCATTTAAGGGTTATTTAGTTCATTGTAAATATAATTATAAAATTTAGGTTCAAGCAATATTCTCCCTAATTTCTTGCGTATAATAGAGTCATAAATTCAATTCCATCTTTATGACTTCCCTTAAAACAAAATCTATATTTTATCTCTATGTGATATTTTATTTATGTCTAGTCTTATTTCTTGTTTTTTTCCAATTGACTTATGCCCATGGTTCTATAACTAATATTGTTCCCTACTTCTAAGTAAATAATATTTATGATATGTTTCCATCCTTAAAAAATCCAATATAAATCTAAATAAAATGTTACCTAAACAACATTATTAAGATAACTATATCATAAAAGGCACTCTATTTCATTAAACTCTAATGCAATCTTATCTTGAATGCCAATAGGGCTAATGATCTATCATTTTTTTTCTTGTTGTAATTAATTTTAGCTATTAGTTAGTAAGCCTAGTATGAATTTTATGTACACCAAGATTCTTTAAAAAAAAAAAGTATACCAAGATTCTTTAGAAATAGGACTAAAATGCCAATGAATAAAATACTTTACCTTATTTAACGTCAAATATGATATCAATTCTTTTGCATTTTATAATAAGTATGCTTAATAAAATCCTTTTGAATTATTTGGTAGAGTTGATACTCTGATGAGTTGCTTCAAAAAAGTGAGAGAAAGCTTCAATCCCAATCATCAATATGACGTTAAGGAATTGCTTAGTTTGTATGAGGCTTCCTACCTTGCTATGGAAGGAGAGGAAGAGTTGGATGAGGCAGGAAAGTTTGCTATGGAGCATTTAAGACGTCTTGATAGATCTTTACTAAGTCCACAACTTATTGAAGAAATAGATCATGCCTTGGAGCTACCCTTGCATTGGAGGATGCCAAGGCTGCATAGTAGGTGGTTCATTGATGCTTATGGGAAACAAGAAAATGTTAATCCCATATTGCTTGATTTGGCCAAACTAGATTTCAACATAGTACAGAGCATTTATATGACAGAGCTTAAGGAAATTTCCAAGTATTTTGAATTTTTTTTTAATTTACATAATTAATCCTTCTCATAATTCTTCTAAGAAATATTATTACCTTTCACAGTTGGTGGAGAAATCTTGGTGTTCTTTGTGATGAGCTTGATTTTATAAGAGACAGACTAGTGGAGAACCATTTATGGGCTTTAGGATTTACATTTCAACCTAAATTTTGGAGAAGCAGGAAAGCAATCACCAAGATTAATTCTTTGGTAACAACAATTGATGATGTTTATGATGTTTATGGCACTCTAGATGAACTAGAGATCTTTACAAATGCCGTTGAAGAGTAAGGAAATACAAAAATTTAATTAATGTGCATAAATATGTTTTAACTAGCTTTGATTATCATATATGTATAAATAATAATATTATTATAATCTAAATGTAATTAAATTTAAGTATTGAATTATCCTTGATTAAATTATTGCTAAATTAAATTGGAACTCCCAGTTGGAAAATGGATGCAGCTCAACAACTTCCAAATTGTATGAAGATATGCTTGATGGCACTTTTCAATACAATGAATGATATTGCATACTCGTTTTTAAAGGAAAAAGGATTGGATATTCTTCCATGCCTAAAAAGAGTGGTAATGCAACTTTTAGTTCATTATGTATATGTCTTTAACTTTTAATATAGATTCAAGCTTTTTCTCATAATTCAAACTTTTTGATATAAAATTCTATTAAGCTACAAATTAGTAATAAAAACATTAAACTAGATTAGATGATTGATGTGGTACAATATTTTTAACCAAATTATGTTATGATTGTACTCTAGTGGGTCGATTTATGCAAAGCATACTTAATTGAAGCAAGGTGGTATCATAATAGATACACTCCAACATTGGACGAGTACTTGGAGAATGCTTGGGTAACAATATCCGGAATTTGTGAACTATCAGCATCATATTGTCTAAGTGATGACTTGAATGTTGAAGCTCTTGATAGTATAAACTTTTATCCACCCATCGTTCAACATTCATGTATGATTTTTCGACTCTACAATGATTTGGGAACTGACATGGTAAATATGAGCATTTTCTTCAATCTAAGAATGTAATCTTAATGTTTTCTTTTCTCTTTTTGAATGATTCATTTATTTATGATAGAATGATATTTTGTATTTATTGCAGGCAGAGATCCAAAGAGGAGACGTTTTAAAATCAATTCAATGCTATATGAATGAGAAAAATGTTTCAGACTCAGCTGCTCGAGACAATATAAGATGTTTAATAAGAAATTATTGGAAAAAATTGAATGGAGAATATATGACATTTTCAACATCTATAGAATCTTTTAGAAAAGCTTTAGTAGATGTTCCACGAACAGCACAAAGCTTCTATCACTATGGAGATGGATATGGAGAGCCTGGTGGTAAAACCAAGGATAAAATTTTCTTAACGATGATTGAACCAATTCCACTTTAAAAAAGTTGTCCTTTAAAAGGACAGTAACATCCTCATTCCTAATCCAATGTACTATTCCTTTCTCCAAGTGCATGCTTTTTGTAATTTAACTTATGATAAATTTTTTATCCAAGCAATTAGTGGTAGCTTTTTGCTTCATATTAAATCAAATATTGCATGCCAAATTATTTTATACCTTGTGCTCATAATTACTAATCAATAAAAAGCATCCAAGTAAACATGATAATGTAACACATCATAATGTGTGTAAAAAGATCTAACTGCACTTTACCCTAGACTAACAACATCTAAGATATTGCTTATTAGAACACATAGTATGTGCAAACTTAAGTGTTGTCAAAGGGGTCGACCCTCAAGCTTGGCAAAAAAGCACCAAAGTTGGTATCATCTCAAGGATCCAATAAAGTTAAGACATGTCACCTTAACTTATTTGATTTTAAAAATATATTTTAAAATATAATATGTTTATTATTTTTCAAAATTAGTTATGAAGGTGTTTTGATGGATAAATTTATTTATATGATTTTCAAGAAAAGGATGTTTGAAAATTAGTCATTTTTTTTAAAAAAAACACCTCATATATTGCCAAAAGTGTTTATTTTCATTTAAAAATGATTAAGGTGATATGCTTTCTATAAATTGTATATGTCACCATTCATATGAGATTCAGTTATGATTGATTATCTTTATCATCAAGTAATCTATCACTAATGGTGATAGTTAACTTAATACAACCATAAGTCAATTTTAAATATGATAGATATGACCCGCTTAGTGAGTTTATGTGTTGACTCAAACTAGATTCAAAGCACATACGTACAAGCCAATATGAAGGTTAGGTGGGTAATTTTAAAAATCACATAGTTAAGTGCAAAGGCAACAATTACTTGAATTGGTGTGACTTAAGCAAAATAGGTATCTCTAGTGGATTTGTTCCACCATGAACAAAATTGGTTTGCACAAGTGGATGTGATCTACTTGAAGGTGTACATAGATAAATGTAGCATGTCTAAATAAGAAAAGGTACTTAAGTGAACATAATATACCTAAATACCATATAAGAAGGGATGTTTAATCACGATGCCTTGACCAAATGATGATGTAATATCATCTTAGAAAAATGTGATTTGCCTTAAGAAAATGTAGCATGTCTAAATAAGAAAAAGGCACTTAAGTGAACATAATATACCTAAATATCATGTTAGAAGGGATGTTTAATCTTGATGGCTTAACCAATTGGGGATGTATAATATGATCCTAGAATATGTGATTTGTCTATGTCTTTATTCATTTAGCTTCTATAAAATATTAGAACTTCTTTGTAAGGTTGGGCACCAATGCCTTAAAATATATTCTCCAATATTTTTAACTACTTTTACAATTAATAAGCTAAATTTAAAATTTGATATTTGTTACATGTATTGTTATAAGCAAAAAAAAAAAAAAAGCTGATCATAATTTCATGGTTGTGTCATCTCAAGTTATCAAGTTTGAGATTACATATCCCTATAGGTAATTGACCTAGCCCAATCATGAGATGCATTGTTAGCAACCTTGAATTATATAATCCAAAGAGTTTCATGATCTAAAATTAAGGAAGACAATATATATTCATAGATAGATGAATATTTCTGGTTGATTTGTAATGAATTTAAGTATTATAATCCTTAAGAGTTAAAAGAAAAGTTTTATTGTAGAGGAATAGGATAAGTTGAACATACAAGCCAAAAATAACCAAATTAGGCTCATAATCCTATTCGGGATTAGGACTACCACTATTTAAGCATATGTCTATACAACCAACTAGAGAGGTTTAATTAAATCATTATGCGGGATAATAGGAGTGAGAAAAATAATATGAAGGTTTTAAACCACAAGCAAGTACTATCTAATAATTTATGCATCTACTAGTATTTATTGGTGACGTCTAAATATACAAAGTGAGGAGATCAATTAAAAATCATAGTATAAATTAAAATTTTACTTTAAATAAAACTTACTTAGATTTGAAATTAATGTGAATTTAAAAATTGATTTATGTTATAAAAATGATTTTTTTTTTCTTGCAAGCCTATTGCAATGCATAAACTCACAAAGCCTCATCACAGAAAGAAAAGGAAAAATCATAATCCAATAAAATTATCAATAAATATATACTTTATGATTATAAAAGAATAATTATTTTTTAGTACAAGTGAGTTTACGAATATAATCCAAGTGAAAATAAGAATTTATATGAGCTCTATATAAATAAAATCATGTCTTAATTTCTATTTACAAATTGAAATGTGTTGAAAAATAGCATATTTGCATAAGGTATAAGCCTCAAGTTCCTTATGCTCTTTGTCTTTACCTTCTAGATCCTTCTTGGTACTCTTAGATCTATTTGGATTGGGATGTACACTTGAATTTTGAAGTGTACTAGTTTGATAGCTGAAACTTTTGCGCTACTACAATGCTTACTAATATAGCTAGATCAGTTACTTAGTGAAGAGTGACATCTTTTCATTAATAGCTACAAATAGAACATGACCCTTGGTAACTTTAGTGCAGTGGTGATGTTGACATTGGAGCACTGCAGCACCCGAGTGCTAAAAAGGGGGCCAAAGCGTGAGAAATTGTGGCACTGTGACATTTAATAAAAGAGAATCCAATGCTACCAAGCTAACTTCTTGATGCTATGGCACCAGCTTTGGTAATGCTGCAACACTGGAAAACATAGAACTTAGCGTTGTAATGTCCAATTTATGGCCCCTCGGTGATATTAAAGGTAGCGTTGCGGTGTTGTTTCATTGGATGCCGCAGCATTGTAAGCACCAAAGAATTTTCTTCCATTTCTAAATTTTTTCTAAATAAACATAACTAAAATAACATATTTTCATTGAAAATTAAATATGTAAAACACGACCACTACAGGAAAAACACTGATTTCAGGCGGTCACATTTCTGGTGGCTTTCCGGCGCGTTTCCGGCGGCTTTTTGTCATGGAATTTTCCGGAGGAATTTCCGGCGGCTTTTTCACTATTCCGGCGGAATTTAAAAATTTATTGAAAATGAATAAATTTTTTACTATTTAAATGATTTAACTAAAACTCATTAAAACTTATATTAACTATTTAATTAATTCTCATTTTAAAATTAATTAGTTAGTTAATTTTTATTTTATGCGCCGGTAACCGCGGGAGGGGAGCTCGCCGGGACTGGATTTATATATATATTTTTAAATTTGACCGACGGTTTTAGACCGCTGGCAAGCCGCCGAAATAATTTGCCGCCGGAAAAACCGCCGAAATTTATTTTCCTACGCCGTTTTTTTCGGCGGAAACTCAACCGCCAGAAAACTACAAAACCGCCGGAAAAGGTTCAATTTCTGCCGGAAAAAGCCGCCGGAAATGAGTGATTTTCCTGTAGTGGACATAATTTACACTTATTAAATTCTCCCCATCTTTACTTGGTATCAAGTAAATAAAGAAATTTGGAATTTTGGTTGATTAAATAATCAAAGTAAAAATTAATAATTTAAAATTACTAAAATATAGGATAATATATTAAAGTCTTGAAATAATGGAAATGAACAAAGTTATAATTCTAGTTTAAAAAAAAAAATACAAGTAATTATCCTAACCATACACCCTTAGTATTGCATAAATTAAATTTATATGTTTTGAATATAATCATTTACTTTTGAATTCTAAATTGAATAATGCATCTTTAAATATTAGATGTGTTTATAGTTGTTGCATCCTCGAATATTTGCGGCAGTAGAGAAATATAAAGTTTAGCATCTTAGCTTTGTACGAAGATCTAACACACAATCAGATAGAGTGAGGGTGAAATATTTATAAGAGATACCAATATTTTTACGTGAAAAATCCCTGAAAAGGGGAAAACCACGGGGCTTAGCCCAATTTGAATGAATCCACTAGTATTTGCAATTAATTACAAATGAGGCCATTCCTTGGGAAAAAGACCATGGCTCGATCTACATTATATTGAGTACATTACATGGTGGGAATACAAAGAATAATTGTTAACGTATTTGTTTCGTCAAAAGGACCATAGTCTAGTGATGGAGGTCGGAAGGACTGTAGTCGGTTGACAACGTAAGTCGAAAGGACCGTATTCGGTGGGCAACGTAAGTTGGAAGGACTATAGTCAGCGGGAAACGGAGGTCATTAAGACCATTGTCTAGTGATGAAGGTTGGAAGGACTGTATTCTATGGGCAACTTAAGTTAGAAGGATAGTAGTCGGTGGGTGATGTAAGTCGAAAGGATCGTAGTCAGTGGGCGACGGAGGTCATAAAGACCATTGTCTAGCGACGGAGGTCGGAAGGATGACATCAGGTAGAAGTCCAGCAATGGACATAAGTCTAGCATCGAATGTCTGGCAACTGGCAGAAGTCCAACGTAGGGTAGAAATCTAACAACAAGCGGAGGTCCGACATTGGGTAGAAGTCTGACGACAGTCGGCAGCTGGGTAGAAAGTCCTGGGGGGTCGAGGAGGAGTACTTTCCTTCTCTTCCTTGCTTTCTTCTCTTCTCTTCTTGCTTGAGCATCCTTCTTCCCGGGTCCCTTTCTATGTGAAATGAGGGGTCTATTTATAATTTTTTGAGAGTGGCATTGCCAGTAAATAGGAGGAAGATAAGGGGAAGTTAGGAGTGGTTTGAATGGATGACTGATGTTAAATCCCTTGATCAAGATGCATTTATTAAAGATTTGAATGTCTTAATGATATTAGAATTTGGAGATTTTGGGATCGTTGGATTCGTCTCATCGAGCCGCTTGATTCGACTATAAGCATGCCACATTTGGAAAACATTTGGTAAACCAAATTATGGTTTGAACCTTCCAAATGTGCTTCAGGCCTTTGATTTGAATTTATTTGGGCTCGGATTGAGTCGAATTTGGTGTCATTGGGTTTGTATTTCTGAGATGTTTAGTTCGACTACAAGTATGCCGAAATCGGAGCTCAGATGATGTCCAATTTAATTTTTGAAGTT